ATTACTCCATGAATGAATTAATCCGTTCACATGGGCACAGTCCTCAAGATCTAATCACCTCTCAAAGGCCCACCTTTCAAATACTGTAATTGGATTCTCCCCCTCTCTTAACACTGTTACAAGGGAGGTCAACTTTCCAATGCATGAACTTTTGGGTGACACATTTAACCCATAGCATTCTCTGTCTCTTCAAACCATTTTTTTGGTTTCTTTTCTTTTTTTTTTTTTTTTTGCCTTTTATTAAGTCTTGTAATTTTTTGTTGAAAGCTAGACATTATATACTAGGTTTTTTTTTTTTTTTTTTTTTGCCTTTTTTTAAGTCTTGTATTTTTTTGTTGAAAGCTAGACATTATATACTAGGTTTTTTTTTTTTTTTTTTTTTGCCTTTTTTTAAGTCTTGTATTTTTTTGTTGAAAGCTAGACATTATATACTAGGTTTTTTTTTTTTTTTTTTTTTGCCTTTTTTTAAGTCTTGTATTTTTTTGTTGAAAGCTAGACATTATATACTAGGTTTTTTTTTTTTTTTTTTAAAAAAAGCCCAGTACTGGTTCCTGCAGAGGTTTCTGCTCATGTGTTCTTGCTCTGATAAGTCATGATTCTCTGTATATAGCTGTCTTTCTAATTTTGGGGACAGCAGTTTATTCTGTGACTTCATTTTCCTGATGAATGTAAGAAGAGTTGTTGATTTTTAGTTTAGCTCTTTACTTCTTAGGATGGAGTGACAACTTCCAAGCTCCTTACATGCCATACTGGAAACTGGAAGTCCTCAGTCAATATTCTTTAATTGCAGGAAAAGGAAACCTTCTTGCTACCTTAAGGGGGGAAAAGTGAGTAACAACAACATAAAAGAAATTATTTAATGGAAGGTCATGGGGTAGCTCACAGAATTGCATGAATACCTGTGCAGGCAAGTCCTGGCAAGTATGGAACTGAGAGAAACTGTGGACTTGTGGGCTTACTTTGGGTCACATGCCCACCCATGGCCTGGGAGAGCAGTCCCACCAAGGTTCAGAGGGAGGGATCCTACCTCAAAGGAAATCCAGGGTACTGCTAGAAGAAGCAGGGGGATGCATTACAGGAATAAGCACCTTTGTTCAGGAAAAGAGGAAACCAAGCAGCTGCTGAATCCTGACTCACCTCTGGCCACTCCCCATTGTGAGGGAGGACCACAGTTAATTTTGTAGATCAAAGGCTCATAGAATTCCTGTCCAGTGCTAGAATTCTTTTTTTTTTTTTTTCCTTTTTGTCTTTTTTCGTGACCGGTAATGGAATCGCAACCCTCAGTGTCGCGCCCACACCACGCTCAACCAGTGAGCGGACCGGTCTCTATATGGGATCCGAACCTTCGGTGGGAGCGCCACCGTGCTCCCAAGCGAGTGTCGCGCCCACACCATGCTCAACCAGTGAGCGGACCGGTCTCTATATGGGATCCGAACCTTCGGTGGGAGCGCCACCGTGCTCCCAAGCATTGCACTCTACCGAGTGCGCCACCGGGCTGGCCCCAGTGCTAGAATTCTGTATGTTCTATATTTAATGGATTTTTGGTTATTAGGGGCAGAATGTTGATATGAATATCATATAAATTACATTGACATTTGGGAACACCACTTATTGTTCATGGGATTTGTTATTTTAGATTTCTTCTACTTGACATATATTCTAAGTACCTGTGCTGTGTCTCCCTTCACCCATTTTAAGTCAACATTAAGGAGAAAAAAATTCTTAGGTAATTCCCTTCCTAATGTTTCTAAACCAAACTCTCTGAAGAAGCTGCCTGATCCAGAACCTGCTTTGTTTTGTGAAAGAAAATTAAAGGTAAAAAATCAAAGGCCCAATAGACTACTTGCCAATGACTGGGTGTGGGGAATAAAGAGCTATGACTTCCTCTTTCCAGCATTCCTGATCCCATCTTTTCCTGCTTACCTGGTATATCAATTTGGGGTCAACTGCAGACAACACAATCTACTCAAGCTAGTTGGGGCTGAAGGGAATTTGTTAGCAGGCACTGGTCGGTTTCCAAACTCCTTTGAAGAATTGGAGGAATAGACTCAAGGTTGAGCTTCCTAAACAAGAATTTCAATGCCTCTGCTGTAAGAAAGCTGACAGGAAGCAGTGTCAGGAAGCTGATGACCAAGTCCTTCAACTACACTAATGCAGATGGTCTGTGCTCACACTTTGAGAAATTGACTTTGGGCATGGATAGGGGAAGACAAGTTAGTACAGGAGATTGTAAAAGAGTAGGGCAGAGTCACAGAGGCCAAGAGAAGAGTGTTTCAAAGACAAGGGAATGGAAAAGAGAATCAAAGAAATGTCTATCTGTCAACAAGGAGATCGTTGGATAGTTTACAAGAGGTGTTCTAGTGAAAATGAAGCCAGAATGCAGTGGGCGAAGGAGTGGGAGGTGGAAGTAAGAAAACAATGACAGCGTACACCACTCTTTCAAACAGCCTGCCTGTGACGGAGAAGAGAGGTGGGGGTGGTCTCAGAGTGTAACATATGGGGGAGAGGGTGACTTTCTCATTTTAGGAGATGAGAGAGACTAGTAGAACATTTTTAAATGCTTGTAGGAGGAATCCTATTGAGTAGAGAAGTAATCGCAAATACAGGAGGGCAATGTGTAGTGGAAGAGCATGGTTCCTGAAGAGGTGGGAAGTGGTAGGCTCAGGGAGTTGAAGAGAGGGTGGGAGTGGTATGGTCAGAAATTTGAAATACCTGCAACGGAAAACAGGAGAGAAAGTGATTCAGACATTACAGGAGGGCCATTGGGCAGCATTGAGTCCTAATACAGAAACTATGTATTTAAAGATGAAGTATTTCAAATATCTAATATGCAGATCTTAAAATGTGGGACTGGCTGAGTCGAAGTGGGATGGGGACTGTGCAAATCATATTATACATGGCTGGGAGGCTGGCAAACCTTATGGATCAGTTAAGGTACTTCTAATTACAAGCAGTAAATACAACTTAAATTGAATCATAGAATGAAAGGAATTTATTGGCTCACATTAGGAAAAGCCCAAAGATGTGTAGGCTTTCAGGCACAGATAGATCAAGGCTTCCTTTATTATTTACCCTCTTTGGCCTCTTTCCATGTGCTGGCTTTATTCTTGTCTTGTCTTCCCTCAGTGTCACACTGTGACTGCCAGCAGCAACCAAGGTTGAGAATCCCAGAAAAAAACTGGAAAAGTGGAGAGGGAAAGGGAAAAATAATCTGCCTTCTGCCCCCTCCTTCCAATCCAATCTTCCACCATTTTTCCCCTTGGCAAGACCTAACAAAAAGCCAGAGAGTAAGGGAGCCTGGAATCAGCTCCAATACAGAGCAGATGAGGGGAAGGCTGGGGAGATTGGATCTGAAGGCCAACAGGCAGATGTTTGGCACAAGTCCAGGAGATACTGGGCAGCCCAAACAGACTGGCCTTCTTAGGAGTGGCCCTGGAGGCAGGCAGACAGAGATCCTTCCAGCACACGGAACCTGAGGAACTCCTCCCACTGCCAGCTTGTGGAGGCCTTGCCCTTCCTAGGCCCCAGAAGGTGAGAGCTGCCAAGTGTGGGTGACACGGTATGCAATTAGAAGCAGCATGCTATTCTGAGTGGGGGGTGGTGGTGGTGGTGGCTGAATGTCTGCCTTATTTAGCCACATCCTGACCTGAATGCTGCAGTTCTAAGTCAGGACTTTGGGTTGTCTCTGGGAAGGGGACAAGAATACTTAGATTGTACAAGTAATAGCTGTATTACATTAAGGAAAGCCTGTACGGAATACATCCCTCCCTTCTTCCGTGACCAGATGCTCCAGGGCTTCGACAGGGACCCCACATCGATAGCGCACTGGGCTTGGACACTGCTTTACATTGTGCCCATGGGCCCAGACCCTCAGTATCCAGAGATCCTTGTCCTTACACTCTCCAGGAGTGGGTATTACCATGGCATGCCTGAGTACCAGCTATCCAGGGCCTGGATGACTTGAACAACTGTTTTTTTTGTCATCCCTTCCTATGCGGACCTAACCGCTGCCTTTCATGTGGTTCTGGAAAGGCTCAAATCATGCACCCATACCTTGTCTCCAGAAGAGTTCCTGTGACCTGACGTAGGCCAATCAGATACTCTTTCTTGGAATTTGGATTGGGAGCAGACGCAACAGGGCCAGGAAACAGCTGAAGTTGGCTCCTCTGGTGGCGTTCTGGAAAGGCTCAAATCATGCACCCATACCTTGTCTCCAGAAGAGTTCCTGTGACCTGATGTAGGCCAATCAGATACTCTTTCTTGGAATTTGGATTGGGAGCAGACGCAACAGGGCCAGGAAACAGCTGAAGTTGGCTTCTCTGGTGGTAGCGCCCCACAGGACTACTCGAGGCAGGAGTTCCCAGCTGGAATCTCTACCGCTGCCCTGCTCCGTCTTTCCTGAGGCATGTGTGGGCAGCCTGTGCCTTCTGAGAACTCCCCAGTGTTCCTCCTATAAACCTTGTCTTGCTTCATTGAGAGGAGTACCCTGTTCCTGATACCAAAAACCCCAATTGAAGCAAGAGCCAACAAGATGTAGACTGAGCAGTCACCACAGAGCTTACCACTGAAGTGGAACCTGCTGTTCTAGAGTTATTTGGGACAGAAATACTGAAAATTCACACACATCACCAGGGTTCTGGGACCGGCAGTATTGCACGGAAACCCGTGGACCCCATATGCCCTTGAAAAACAGAAAGGTGTAAGTAAACGTTTCATAACCTGGGATGTATAAATATCTTCTTAGAAGATAGGATTTCAAAGTAACATGAATTTTTTCCATTTAACTAATATTGTAAAAAGTTATATATTAAGGGTGCTTCTTCAGGATACACTTATTGTCTTCCCTTCTGCCTGCTGATTTTTATAAAAAGGGTAATTTTTTCTTATTGTGTTCATGAGTGTTACATACATTTTACTGTTAATTTAGAAATACTTTGTTTGCCAATGAGTATCTTCTGAACATGCACAGAGGTATACAAATGCAGTCCTAAACACTGTGCTTACAAATAATTTATTCTTATTTCATAAATTTGTTCTTCAGCAAAAAATGCAGTTATTTTATACAGAATTTCATATTCAAGGCTATACAGAACAAATATCTCAGAAAATCAAAATCATAGCAAACAATACAACAGAAGTGAGTCACAATTTTGTTCAGCTACATGCACTGAACTGACCGGGGTGATATCTATTTCTATAGATTACTTTATCAGGTCATATGGAATCATGATTAAGTAATGCTTTTCTGCCAGTATACACTATTGATCTGAAACTGCATCATAGTCCATATATGGAAGTTCACACATCCTGAGAACGCGTCCTCTAGAGCTAGTTAGATGCAGCTTTTTAGATGTAGGTGAGGACTGGAGTCAGTCAGGGTAGCCTAAGAAGAATTAATTTAGCAAGCAGTGGGGAAAAAATATCTTTCTTTATGCCTGCATTATTCATTACTCCCTTCCTCCTTCATTATTAACATTAAATAAACTTCAAAAAAAAAGGACATAAGAAGGTCTCTATTTGACCACTATTAAATCCTTCCTCTGTCTCTGACCTGAGGGAAAAAATGAATATGGTCCTTCAAGTAACACCCTTTACTGTAAAAGGGGACCTGCTGGTTGTACATTCTAGTAAATCCGAGTACAGTCATCGTCTTTAAATCCTTAGTTTAGGCTGGATGAACCCCATAAGGCAGATGGTTGGAGAAGGCCTAAATACACGTGGAACCATTTTAGAAACCTGTCTTCAAGGCTGGATTTGTGGAAAGTGAAGGCTTCCAGGGTGGTGGAAATGGTCCAGGAGAGGCCGAAGTGAAGAGAGTTCAGAACCACGACGTGCTTCATGCAGGTATGAAGGCAGCCCAAGCACCTCCCAGCCCCGAAGCTCCCAGAGCCTCTACCTGGACCGCGTGGCGAAGGCTTCCAGGGTGGTGGAAATGGTCCAGGAGAGGCCGAAGTGAAGAGAGTTCAGAACCACCACGTGCTTCATGCAGGTATGAAGGCAGCCCAAGCACCTCCCAGCCCCGAAGCTCCCAGAGCCTCTACCTGGACCGCGTGGCAAGGGCACACGGCCTTATCCTCTTTCCACTCTGAAGGAACAAGTGGCAGAGTGTCCAGGGCTGTGCATCCTACTGGCGTTGTTATTAACTGTGGTCATACCCTCATCACAGTAAGATGTGCCTCACCTCTTTTTTGGCACCCATTCGCTTGATCAGAATAATTCTGCTCACAGCCTCCAGAAGAGAAAACCAGCCGGGTAGAAAAGTAGGCCTTCCCTGCTAAGCCTTGCTGAGAAAGCAAATTCAATGAAGTTTTAACCAGAATTTTAAAGACTTTTAAATTTAGCCTTGTTATGCACCTAAAACCTACCTGACATGTTTTCTTCTTTTAAAAAAGATTTGTATCCTTCTTTAAACTATACATTATTTACATTTTAAAAGACCTATTAGGTCTTTATCATTTGGGTACGAGCTCAAGGTGATTAAACAAACTCCCAGGACAAAGATGAGGCTTTCCAAAAAGCACTGGTTCTTATCTATGTGCTAAGGCCTATTTTTACTAACAAATTATTATTATAAACTTCTAAAATATAAAATTAAAATACTTCTTTAAAAAATTTTCCTGTGAATTTTCTTTTTTGCATCCAGGATATTAAAAACAGATTATGCTTTCTAATTAGAGGTGGAATCAAAAGAACAAATGAAATTAACGTGGCCCCATACTTTACCTAGAAACAAGGGTTTATTTACACGGTATCTTTCTCAATGCTGTGATGAACCGTGAGAAGCAGGGCTATCTTTACAGCATGGCTAAATAACCAACTGAAGACCCTCCACTCCGCAGCAAGTGCTTATTGCGTATTTTGGGTGGAGCTGTAAGGCATGAGAAAGGTAGCCAGTCACTTTTATATATTTGAGGATAATTCTGCACATTCAAGAAATTTTCCTTGAGAAATGCCATGTTTGGAATAGCTTCCAGAGATCATTCAAGAACAAAAAGTATTAAAGCTTATGCATTACATTTAGAAGCACAATACATTGGGGAACATCTTCAAAAGCTCAAAGAAAAGGCTGTTTTTCCATTCAGTTAAATAGTAAATAAGTTGCATATAGGTGTGTGTTCAGAGCTCTCAAAAGTCACATCCTGCCACAATTAACAGCTAGATGAGCATGTTTGGCCCCTGATCTATAAATAAACACTCTAATTCTGCAACTTGCTCACAGATTTTTAAGAAGCTGTTCTAAAACAAAAAAAGCCTACAAACGGATTAGAATCTGCAAACCAGAAATGCAATACATTTGTCCTTTTTGTAAATGACAGTAACAGAGAGTTGTATTAGCTTTCTGGAATAGTGACTAAGAAGAACTGACATCCATTTTCACGATTAAGAAATAATTATTCGTGATACTGAAGAAGTCAAATCTCCAATAAAGAAGGCACGTGGGCTCTCTCCAGTCATACAGCAGTGCTTAGCCCCAGCACTGCATGCTTCCTTTTCCAGTTTGCCTAGGCTGGTTCGCTTTTTGCTCGGCGATATATATCAGAGAACATTGGCAATCCCTCAAGAAAATGATTCAAAAGGTGATTTACAACTGGTTGGTGCTATCCTCTAATGCCTTTTTGCCTTATGTCCTAATTTTATAGAAATAAATTAAGGACATTAAGCCAGGAGATAAATACACTACTCAAAATATAATTGGGCTCTAGTGCTCAAAAGCTACTGGATATGTGGGTAAGCTGCCAAATAAAATTTCTTACCTACCTATTTGAACATTAACACCCTGGAGTTCACATGCTTTTCTAGAGACAAAATTTAAGATTCAAGCGACACTGTTCACAGTTGCCCTATTCTGGCTGTTTAAATCTAATCCTTCTCCTCCCTTTCCCATGCTTTCTTCTTATCTTTTTTATATCTGACACTTTTTAAAAATGATTTTCTCCAGACTTGTTTTTTCTAAGACATGTTTCATAAATTACAACACAAAGATTTTAGAAGCAAAAAAAGGCTAGAGAACTTTAGTTGATCTTAGTTAATTTTGGAGATTTAAGCATTCAAGCTCATATAAATGTGGGTTTTTAAAAATTTTATTACACTCTCTCTGAAATTCAGACACTTAATGACATCACAGTTTAGGCACTTTGGATGAGCCACATTTCATAATGGTAAGAATACTATTAACCTTCCAATAGTTATTGTCATTAGTGTGTTTATTAATTAACAGTGATGATAAATTTTTCAGTTCTATACATATGCCCACTATTCCCTCACCTGTACTGTGCATTAAATTTTCAAGTTATCTTTAACTATAGAAGCAGACAAAAAGAAAGAAAGGAAGAAAGAAAAAAGAAACTGATTGTGGGTAAGTTAGAATTTTAATTGAAATAAGGTTCTATGCATTGCACTCACGCTAATAGAAGAAAATTCAGTGACTTAGGACATTCTGTTTATGACCAAGGTTAGATTCTGGTCCCTTGGCAGAAAGCCTTTCTGGTGCTTCTAACTCTGTTCCAGCAGAAGACAAAGGGTAACAGCTGTAATAATATGAATGGATCCTTGCCCAATGCCTTACATACAGTAGGTACTCAATGATTACTAAAGGGATTACATTAACAAATGAATGAACATCAACTCAAAGGATGCAGAGAGAGTGAAGTCAGCAGTGGCAAACTTCAACAGATGAAGAACTAGATGGTAAAAACCATTTAAGTGGCTGATCATATTTTAAGATTTTATAATCTAATTTCAAAGACAGCCATACCATACTTTGCTCTATTTTAAAATTACAGTCAATTAAAAGAATATGTAAACACACACACACACACACACACACATTTAGTATCTATGTGCTTGGCCAGGCATCATAGCCATGCAAACTAGAAAACACTCACAATTGAGCAAACAATTGTCCCAATATTCTAACGTCAATTTGAAAACAGTTCTGTCACCTTGGTCCAATGGTAAAACCTTGAAATGCAGATAACTCCTACCATCCCTGTCACCTATTATAATTTTGTGCAGATTAACTAATTAAAGCTATGAAGAGTTTTGAAGATAAAAATTTCCTGTTTTTTTTTATTGCTGTTAGCCCTCAGATTCAGCACCAAATCCTGGGGAAAAAAAAAAAAAGATAAAAATCACCTCCACCCACAAAGTTTGCATTCTTAAGAATGATTCCCACGAAGTAGCATGATGAATGAGGCTAAACAGTTTTTTGACTGCAAGCACTTACGGGCAGGATTTATGAATGGAAAACATATGAAGGCCACTCTGGCCAGCTCTGTAGCCCCATACTTTCTCCCTGGGCTATTTATAAAAAGTGGATGGCCAGTGGAAAAGATCGCGTTTATTTTTACAAGTCAGTCATGACCTGACTGTAGAACTCACTTCCTCTCTCTGGGAAGGTCATCCTATTCACCTGAGCTACAAGAAGGGCAGAGAAGAAAAGAACCCTTTTAGCCAACTAAATTAGGTTGAGTCAGCCCCAGAGACCAACCCACGGATGACAGGCACTGAAGTCAAACATTCTCATTTCAGGCATGACTCTGTAGTGCTGCTTCTTGAGATGTCATCTAGATTATGACTAACAAGTAAAAATAAAATGTATTATATGTGTCAAAATTCTACTGCCAAATAGGTTGTACGAAGATAATGTAGTGAATTTTTACTTATAGTTTAATCTGACATTTCAGACAGCTGAACACAATAAAATTGAATTTTAATGGCTGTGGCAAAACAGAGAGTGTGAAAAAAAATATATATATTTTTTTCCTTTTTTGTCTTTTTTACTGACTGGTAATGGGATTGCAACCCTCGGTGTCGCACCCGTACCGGGGACCGGCAACTGGATCGCAACCCTCGGTGTTGCGCCCGCACCGCGCTCAGCCAGTGAGTGGGAACCGGTCTCCACATGGGATCCGAACCCTCGGTGGGAGCGCCGCTGCGCTCCCAAGCGGCGCACTCTCCAGTGCACCACCGGGCCGGCCCGTGAAAAAATATTTTTAAAGATATTTTATTCTGATTGCCATATTACCCCTGGAATATGTAATCAACCTGGATAGTTCCATTTAAATGTGGAGACTTAAGCAAGTATTTCCTTCTAAAATATCATCATTTATCTTGAAAGAAATCCAATAGAATTTAGCATTTAAACTATATATTTTAACAAATCATCCCTGGTCTAAAATGGTGTAGATGGTATCGAGTTGCAAACATGAAGTAAAGCCAAACCACTGTTTCAGATAGGATGTCTTATCATCAATGTTATATGCAGTATATAAAACCTAAGATGGAACAGGAAAGGGAATGTTGAGGCAGGAAAAGGCAAAGGGAAAAGAAAAGTGAGTCCTCATTCTCTCTGGGACACACTAGGTGCTGACACCTTGGTGAGGAAAAGTGTGTCATCTCACTGGGCTCGTGCATCATAATCACTTGAAAATGATATGGGTATAATTTTATCCTTAAGTGGCCTCTGCTTAAGGACAAAGACACAGGGCAAGAAGAGAATTCTGTTTGTGGACCCAGATCTCTGACAAAAATTTAAAATTACAAATTTGGGGTTTAGTTCTTGTTCTCAAACTTATCAACCCTTTTTAGAAGTCTTCCTCTTGAAAGTTCCTTCTGAAAAGGAGGTCCCATTTTACAAGGAAGCTACAAAATACTTTTCAACCTGCTTCTCTGGCTTTCAAACCAACATTCTTTGGGGCTCTAGAAGAGACAACAATGACATGCAAGTAAGTTTGCATGTGGAAATATCCTGATTTCCACAGTTGTCCTTGAATACATGGACTAAATTAAGTTATAGTTGAGGAATAAAATCTGTAGTAAACACAAATTACCAGCCCCTGTAACAGGAATCTCCTTGCACTTTGCAAAGGGTGAGAAACTGACACTCATCAGCAACTGTGCAAAGTGTATTTACAATCCCATTAAGAGTTTCTTAATTTATAAACACAAATTACCAGCCCCTGTAACAGGAATCTCCTTGCACTTTGCAAAGGGTGAGAAACCGACACTCATCAGCAACTGTGCAAAGTGTATTTACAATCCCATTAAGAGTTTCTTAATTTTAATACAGAAATATATAAACTTAACTTCTGTGTGCAAATGAACACACACCAGGATATGCACACATAAATATACTGGCTTCTCCAGGGAATTGTGCTGAGCTTCTCTGTTTACAAATACAGAAGCGATTAAAAGTATAAACAAAAACAGCAGTCTTCTTAGGAGCACCAGCCTGCCAGAGCTGAGGTAAGTGTTCATCTGCCTTATGTGCTTGATCTAAACTATACCACGAAGTCAAGACTCCCTGCTAAAGGACTTATCTGGTTTTTAACCAAAACGACTTACCAGGAAACGTGACAAGTATTTAAATAAGCCACCTCAGTGGTTTGTGTTAGTCTAGAGTTGCCATCTTAATTACAGGTTAGCATTTATAAGAAATGTCTAAATAACACTGGCTAACCTGTTAGAAAGGATCTCAGGGGTGTGTTCACTAATTTTTCAAGGATTTAGGGTGACTATCAATCACTTCCGTAGCCTGGACCCCAATGAGACTTCAGTATTTAACTGGGTAAGTCTTACTTAACTCAAAAATTTCAGTTACAACTCAAATAATATGCTCCTGACTTTCATACTAAAACTGTCCCTTTTATTCCTGAATACTATATTTTTAATTTTAAGCAAGGATGGATGGCTTCAGTCTAGAACAGTGTCCTTTCACCTTCCCCCATGTCTGCATTAGAAACCACAGCTACATTAGCAAGTTGGCTCCTTCTCTTTGTAGAGAAGCCAAATGCTCTGCATGCCCCTGTAAGCTACTTCCAGTCCTACCAAGCACTTAAAACTAACACCATCTTCCTTCCCTCCTGGATGGAATGTTAAACCTTAATTTGCAGTAAAGTAAGAAAAGCTTACAATCACTGCTCTACCCATGCAAGAAACTGTGTTTGAGGACCAGTCATTTGGGCATTGCTTCAAAAGGCACATTTATTCCAGTGGCAATTCTAAAAAAAGTAGAGAAGAAAAGAATAAGATTTAAAACAAAACAAACAAACAAAAAAACCGAGGATGGGTTTTGTAGAATCCATTAAAGTAAATAGGAATCTGGGATATATACAAACCACTCCAGCTCCTTACCAGTAGTTTAACCAGAATCCCCAAGGTAGAATAATTCACAGCTGTATCATGACACACATAGGCCTTCAGAAAACACTGTTTAAAAAAGCAGTAGAGAACACTCAAGCAGCTTGCCCTGATGTCCAGTTCAAGTGTATGCAAATGCAGAAGGCTGCAAAATTCAAAAGTATGTGACAAAGAAAACTCAGTGCATCTCACAGGCTTTGATAAATTATGAAAAAATCATTTTATATATTACTATTTAAATAACATCTGAGAAACATTATGAAATAATTGACTTGTGTTCACATTCCATGCATTTTCTAGCTGGATAAGCCCTGGGTTTGAGTCTTTCTGCCTGTTTCCTACAAAGCTCCATTCTTTTGACAAATCCAAGCAATCCTCAGGCTGAAATGGAAGCACCCAGGGATTTTATCTACTTATCCTCTTTACTGCATACCTGATCTCACAAGGGCTACTCGTTATTAGCCCTGGCACAGAAGATGATTGGAAAAGCAGACTCTTTGGGGTTTCATTTGGGATTTTATTCCCTGCCTTTGAAAAAAATCCCTGGATGTCACAGACACCACCTGAACTTTTTCCACGGGCAAGAACCAGTGGCCCTTTCTCTCCTGCTTGAACCCCCGCCCCTCCCGTCCCCCTTCCAAAGCCCTAAGTGGGCGGGGATCCCTTTGTAGCAGTGGACTCTTCCCCTGCGGTTTTGCAGCACCCTCCTTGAGCATAGAAGGAAACACAACGAAACTTGAAAACAAACCAACAACAGCAACAACAGAAACTCCAGACAAACAGGTGGGCGCACCCGTAGCCTCCTCCAAGGCAGACGCTCACTTTTTACTGCAGAACTCGGAGCTGTTTAGGAACTTCCTGATGACCAGCCCCAGACAGACTACCAGCAGCAGCATATAGCCCACCGTACCCCAGAAGGTGGGCGCAGCGGGCGGCGCCTGGAGGAACTGGCGCAGGCCGTCCTCCACGTAGTACACCTGGTCGTAGATGCTGAGGAAGGTGAAGATGTGGAAGAGCTGGTGGCTGTGGCCGATGATGTCGAAGAGGCCCGGCTGGATGCGCTCGGGGATCTTGCTCACGTTGAAGAAGGCGGCCACCACCAGCCAGAAGTAGCGGCGATAGAAGTGCACGAAGAGCGTGGGGTTCTCGCCGCGCAGGTCGAAGAGCCAGCTCTCCAGCATGATGGGGCAGGCCATGCTTAGCGGCATGATAAAGACGAAGGTGCGCAGCGCGAACGGGTAGGCGCACCAGTCCGTGCGGCTCTTGCAGCAAGCCACGGTGCAGGCCACGGCCAGCACGAAGGCCACAGGCAGCACCAGCGCGCGGTAGGCGGCGATGAGGCGAGTGCAGTCCACGTGCCAGCCCAGGCGCTGCTGCACGTACGGGGTCATGACTCCGGCGTCCAGCAAGCTCAGGCCGGGCAGCAGGTAGTAGTAGTAGGCCACCGTGCTGCCGAAGCCGTAGTAGCTGATGGACGCGTAGTCCAGGTAGAAGAAGGCGGCGCGCAGGCGCAGCGACAGGCAGCTGAACACGTGCGCCGTGCAGCTCATGGCGAAGGTCAGCAGCACGCCTGACGCGTAGCACCACAGCGGCAGCAACCAGGGGTGGTGGAAGGGCACGTCGCGGCCGCTCAGGAAGAGCAGGCGGCAGAACTTACTGAGGAACAGCAGCAGCGGGATGAAGTGCGTCCAGAAGTTGAGCGTCTCGTTGGTGGGCTTCAGCACCGAGGCCAGGCACTCCTGCGCCGTGCACGGCAGACGCCGGTAGCCCGACAGGATGAAGCACTCCACGAAGTCGTCGGGCACCTCGTCCCAGCGCAGCAGCGGCTTGGCCGACGCGGGGGTGCGCCCGGAGGCGGCGGAGCGTGGGTGCCGGGCGGGCCCCGGGGCCACGGCGGCCGTGGCGGGCGGGCCCTTTGTGCCCGCGCCC